GACATTTTTACGGGTGATTTGAGAAACTCTTTTTTTGTTAATGGAATGCTTCAGCTCCATTAAGGTCGAAGCAACCTGCCTTTTGAACATAAAAAGCAGGGAACTGAGCCTGAGCCTTACTGCTTGTGCAGCATAGATACAGAGTTATTTGTTTGATGCATTGTTGACGTAAAAACTGCAGTACTTCTTTCAGATATTTATTCTGTGAAAATACTAATTTATAACTTAGTGCTTTGGCAGAATGGAAACTCCTTTAACAATAAGTCCGCTCTTCCAGTTCCCTATATCATATTCATGGCAGTATATATCTATTTCCCCAACACTTTCCGATGAAGTTGTAAATTCTCCGACCGGGATTTCGATCCATACTCCTTTCGGCTTGGTCATCAAAATTTCCTTGTGTTCAACCTTGAACCTATTTGGAAGAGTGAGTCTGAAGTTCACTGGAAATTCCCATCCAAATGCTTCATCTCTCAACATAAACACGAACACAACTCGATACAAAGTTCCCGGTGAGAGCTTTGCCACATCGAATTTCACATGTATTTCTAGCCAACACACTTGTAGAAGTTCGGCAACATCAATGAACACATCGCTGCAAAATCAAAAGTTTGCGTTTAGGAAAGCCGTCAAGCTAGAACTAAGAATTCAGCAGGGATTCTGATATGGATAATAAATCTTCGGCAACCTGTTTATTTCTTTTTGGTTTGTCCAGTGCCAGTAACGGTGGTCTTCCGCCCAAGTGATTGAGAGATCTCTTGCAAACAACATGAAACAGTTTTTGTTTGACTTCTTATCCACCCAGTACTTCTGCAACAACAATGGCACCAACAAAGTCGTGAAACTTTTCTTCCATTCAACTATTCGTAAATGGAAATTCATTTTCGAATAAAAGATAAGATTTTTAAAATTGAACATATATAAGACTTAACTACCTTTCTCTTTTGGTTTAAGTAAACCCCGGCATGGAGCTGAGAAAGCAACTTATCCATGGAGGAGCTCTCAACAGGTGAGTCGGCATCTTTCAAGATGGCTTTATAGTTCTGTGGAAGTTGTATAATTGCCTCTGTTTTCTCCATGGCCTTGGCTTGGGTATTAACAAGCTCCGGGTGTGCTGGTTTTTCCATTGGCTGGGCATGGTTTACCAGGTTCTGTGGCTTGACATTATTGTTTGCTACAGTTGGTTCTGAGACTTGTGACTGTGAAGCCCCCATCTTTAATTTGAGTTATCCTCCTTCAATGGAAGACTATTTATAGCATGACAGAGTGAAATAATTAACTTGCCATCACAACAATGATCTATTCATATAAATTGGCAACTGAAAATAAAACTCTTTATTGAATAAATAAGCAAGAAAAGTTTATTTTTTAAAAAAGAAGACAAGTCTAATATAAATTGATAGATCATGGGAATTTCATGCTAGAAAATTTTTAAAAAAGGGTTCGTTTTCCATTGTCTTTTACATTCAAAAAGTTTATGATTCTGTTATAAGGCAGCCACCCATTCCAGACTATATATTCCTTACGCAAAGTTGTGTGTCGAATTTAGAGGAGATAATCGGCATCTTGCAGTTGCTTTATGCTAAAGCAAACAGGATAAGATGCTCTGCCAACAGTTTTGCTTTTGCAGCAGCCTCTAGCTTTAATATATCTGTCTGCAAATATACACCTCCAGTATGCCTTACAGAGAGAGAAGAAGTGGAGAAGGGATTAATGAAACTTGTCTGACACTAACTCTTTTACAAAAAACCAAAAAAAAAAAGAACCTGCTTAAGTTTTAGTATTTTGTTACAGATCCATATCATTTGCAAGCTTCGCATTGGATGAATTGCTAGATCAAAGAGGTTTATTTAGTTACCATATGAAAAGTTAAAGAACCGAGCAAGTCAATCTAGAAGAGGTTCAACCAGCTGGTAGTAATATGCCTGGAGACAGCTTATTTGGAATTGGATTTAAACAAACTTTTCCAGTGAAAATTTTCTGTCATTGCGCAGGATCCATCTGATGGCTTTGAACCTATATATATCACCTTAAGCCTCATGGATTAATGCTGATGGCCGTAAATTAATGGCTAGGTTATGATTTAATAACTTTGATGTGTCAATTTATATTTTGATGCACATTTAGGATCTATTTTTATACTTGTATAATTAACACTGCACCTTTTAATCTTAAATATCACATAATTAACCAATAAGATATGTACAATTGCCTACTAATTTATATACGTATTTATATATTAATTAAGAAACATTAATGGCAACGAATTTTCGATCTTGGTTTAATCTCCAAGACATGGACAAGACCATGAATTTTTCACAGTAATAGGATAATTCGTCTTTGAAAAATTCAAAGAAAAGTTTGCTGTATACTTGCAAATGGGTTTTATACATATAGTAAAGCTTGTCTAAAGTCATGATGAATACGAAATGTAAAGGCATTAAACTGGCATTCCAAGTTGGTTAAATCCCTCAGGAATTAATTAATAAAGGACAAATGAAGTGCAACTATAGTATCCAGCCAATGTATATTCATACAAACTGGTAGCAAAGAAGGTAAGTGTAATGTGGCCGTTATTCCTTCAGCATGTTTTGGAACTTACAACTCAGTCCCATTTATTCATGATCTAGCATATGCATGCAATACAAAATAAAACCATGCCACACGTATATATATATATATACCAATTTATCTATATCTTTCTTCACTTCTTTTCCTTGACGGTTGCTTCGTGAACTCTCAAGCCTCCCTTCCATTTCCCGCTCCACACTTCATACAAACCGAAATAAAGCCTGCTGTCAATAACTTCACTCGGAACTTCAATAAGGAACGGTTCACTGTTGCTTGGAACTTCAGTCTTTTCCTTTGGAAGTGATTCCAGTTCCTTTAGCCTTCTCCACTTGTACTTTCCCTTCTTCCCTACCTTAGCCATCAAGAAAACAGGGCACCCGCTCCAACCAAAAGCATCCTCTTTGAAGCTTAGTTTGAAGGTAAGTTGATAAATTTTCGAAGGTTGTAGTTGGACTGAACCGGTTACTTCAAGCCAGGACACTTGAACCAGCTCTGCAACTTCATCATTATTACCCCTACAACGTAACTTTTAACACTCAAAACAACATAATCAAAGAAAGTATCAAATTATATAGTAACATTAATTAATTAATTAATTCTTACCGTGTCGATGGTGAGCGAGATGGAATCCGCCAGTAGCGATTGTCATTTCCCCATACAATGTTAAATGCCCTGGGTTTAAGTGTATAACCACCCTGCAAAAATAATTTTTACTATTGGATTTCAAGATTTTTTGTATTGAGTTAGAAAGAGATAATCATATATATGCTTAATTACCTGATCTTGTTTTATAGCTTCATAGTCTGCATCATGATGAGGCTTGGTACCCATTGTGAATATGTTGGTGCTGAAGGTGAAGGGGCCTATATATCTTGACATGAATGTGACGGTGAGGCAAGTGATTTTATACGCAGGAAAAAGATGGTGTAAGGTAGGAAGGAATTCTTTTTTGCTGCATTCATGAATGTGACCCCTCAAAGGAAAGCACACCGAAACAAGTTGGAAAACGGAAAGAATCAAGCAAACGCCCCATTATAACTTTACCGAAAGAAGGGTATCTTTATTTATTATTATAATATTATTATTATTTAGGTCATTAACATATCCCTTTTTTTAATGTTATAATTACTTATACATCCGATGAAGTTTCCACCTCCTATATTATATGTTTAGAGTGAAAAATAGTTATAAAAAATATGTAAATAGGGCTAATCAGTCCTTCATCCATAACTCATGATCAAATCTATTAAGAATATATAAAGTTAACACTTTGATTTTGAACAAGTTGAAAGTTGAAATCATACCCCATGGTCGACCTCAAAAAAAAAGAAAAAAGAATAACCAACAAAACAATTCTTTTTCCTATCATTAACGTCTTTTTAAGATTTATATTCATACGTATATATCTTTGTCAAGTAAAATATGAGCCACATACAATTTTTTTAGTAGTATCTCAATTTTTCAAGTAAAAAAATTTTATTCTTCAATAGCTCAAAGTTTTGACATTGCGTTTCTTGATTTAAAGCTGGTGGATCCTTAATTGAGAATTTGATGCCCGCCCACACCCATCACTACTCGTGTTTGAATCCTCCTCAAAATTAGTTCGTCGAGAAGGAATAAAGGGTTTGGTTATGTTTGAAAAGAATCATTATATCAAATTCCCTTTGCCTTTGTTTCTCTTTGTTCTTCGTTGGATGTGATGTTGCCAGCAGGTTCACCGTGTTGATTTGTTAATGAAAAGACAAAGCAGCTTGATCTGCTCACAGCATTCTTGCATGGTATTTCTATCAACTCAAAAAGTAATCACCTTTCTAAAGGTCAAAGACGGATTCAAATCAACCTTTGTTTATTGACCTTAATTTACTGGTATATACATGCATTTGCTCGGAGAATGAAACGAATTTGTATTATAATCCTGGCCCTGTCCGTCTCCTTCTAAACTTTAGACAATAGTAACATATAACTAATTTCCTGGTGATTTCCAGTATATTCTGGCTCTAGAAGCTTTTCTCCTCCAACTATTTCTTTAATACTGCAATTTTCATTTTGAAAGCATGCACAGAACCAACGTGAATCATGTGCTAGCAAGAATGCCTTCCGGATGCATTTAACTTAATGCATACTCTTGGTCTTGGACTTTTGCTTCTAGTTTCTTTGTACCTGTCTCGCCTTTAATGGCATGCCTCATTGGACATTGGTTCCGACACAAGATTCCAGGCATTCATCTTTTTAGTCCCCTGCAATGGTTCTAAACCTTCTCAGCAAGGCAAAAGGAGAAACGAGAAGGAATTAACTTCAGTTATTGGCTCCCCCCACACAAAAAAAAGAAGAAAATTCAGCTGCATTGTGCCTCTAAGAGTTTACTAATTCACTCTACATATGTTGTCAAGAAATTGCCAGGGAAAAGGAAAATATAGTTGAATACAGTAAAAGTTGACAGTATCAGGTTTGCACGGCTCATTCGTGTTCAAGTTACATAGCTACATCCGATGTTGTGAAACGTCTACACTAACGGGCAACCCATCTATGCTTTTGTCCGACCTGAACAGAACGACCTCTGCACACTTTTCACATATTTTTTCCCCTGGTTTGTGCCCTTCTGCAAAGTGATAATTAATTTTGACTACACAAACTACTTTAAGAATGACAAGTACAGCAAATCCCCAGATGACGATTATGGGATGTTCCCCACTTTTCTCTATTAGCCAATCAATTTTTTCTCCGCAACCAGTACAAGAAAGGAAAACGGTGCCAAAGATCAGAAGATGCTCCACATGTGTCGCTATAGGTCGGTCATTTCTTTTCCGAAGCAATAGAAGCAGCAGTCAAATCTTCAGCTTTTGCTGGTTTGTGTAGCTGCAAGATATGATTCTCAATTAAGGTGGGAAGAATGATATGATCTATGTGGTTTAATGCATCATAAATAAATAATTCAAACTTCAACCAAGACCACAGCCAACTTAATCAAGAATGGAACAATTTGAACTGACTAGACTATTTATTTTTAGACTAAATACACAGGCTAGCCTATATCCTCGGACTAAATGCAAAAGTGATACTTAGGGCCAAAATGATCAGTATAAAAGAATATTTCTGTAGCATTATGTAACATAAGAAAGAGAAACTTACAGCTTCTGCAACGGCAAACCAATGAAAAGAACGCAAGAAGGCATCATCTTTTGAAGGAGGACTATCATGATTCCAATATGTTAATTTATCAAATTTTGCTTTCATTTGCCAGCTGTTCAAGCTCCCTTCTGATACATCACAAGCTTTTCTTTTGCCAGAGTTGTTCTTTCCCAGAACAAAGCCTGCAGTACAACCAGAAAATAGGAAGACTCTAGAGGAAATGGAAAATGAAACCTAACACTATGTCAACACATTTTTTAATATTGGTATAGTTGTAGCACAAAGCCTGCTGCAAGACCAGTGCAACTTCCTAAAATTGATCAAATTACATACAAACAGGTGAAGCAAAAACAAGAATGTTCAGAGCACCCAAGTAGAGCATTTGTCTCCAGGGAAGCACTACCTTTCACTCTCATTAACCGATTCAAAAAAAAAAGACACAAGACCACATCCAATAAATCACTGACAATGCAATATCTTGCTCATTGTTTTGCAGATAATATTTCCTTGTAAAATGAAAAGTATTAATTCTCCAAATCATTATAATTTCTTAGCTTATCCTCCTCAAATTCAATAGGCTTGAAATATTGTTATCAACAAAGTTCTCATAGTTTCCAGTGTTACATGCTTAGATCCACCATATCCCAAACATACAACTAGAACTCAAAATTCAAATCCACAACATCACAAAAAATTTATCTTTCCAACAAAATAAAACATGGGAATTAATTAAAAACAAATCCAAAAAAAAAAAAGGAAAAATACCAGAATATCCATTTGGAATAGAAATAGTAGTTCCTTGAAGCTTCCTTCCTCTAAAATGTGCTTCCTCTACTGCTAACCCATCAATTTCCATCCCTACTTAACATAAAATAAAACCCAACAAAAAATATCAAATCTTTACCTTTGCATAAAACTTATATATGAGAAGCAAACATAGAGGAAAAGGGGATACCTTTGGCTTTGGGTCTGAAGTATTGGGAAACAGAGCAAGGACCATTGAGTTTGATGCAGCATGGCAGGTGATGGACTTGACCACTTATATTTACTTCCTCTTCTTTGTCTTTCTGGCTTAGTTTTATGCTTCCTGTTGTTCCCTTATCTTCCTCCATTTTTCCCCTTTTCAATTCAAACCCTAACCCTAATTCTCTCCACGCCTCAAAAATGGGGCGTTTCTATGACTTCTCAGTTCTCACCTTCTCTACACTCAATTTTTCCCGCGCTTTCCTGGCCCAGCTTTGGGTGCTTTTTTTTAAAAAAAAAAAAAAATTCCCTTCTACTTCTTCTGTTTTCTAAAATATTTTATTAAAAATGGTCAACATATGAAAAAGATAATATAATAACAAAAGTGATTCTAGCTTTGGCAGCGTGGAACTTGAAATTGCTAAGAATTTTCAAGGTGGTGATGAGAGGATAGACATAGTAAAAGTCCAACATTGAAGCTGAGTTAGTGGTGGAGATTTGAAGTAACTTGTAACTTGTAGTGGGATGTAAGATTTGAGCATAGTCAGTCACCCTCATGTCAGCATGCATAACATAATTATTATTCACAAGTTTGCTTAATTATTTCAAATGTTTAGACAATAGACATAAACCAAATTGGTCAGGGTTAGGAGGAAGCACCATATTTGCACCTTTATGTCATTTTTCATGGATCTTGACGTTAATAGTTTGGCAAATGCTGAGCGGAATGGCTTTTCTGAAAGAGCTGAGCAAATTCTATATATGTCTTGAATATCTAAGGCTCATAGCCTCTATTTGACAAAACAATTAATCCAAGATACAACAAAATACAATAAACTACAACATCTGTGAACACAAATCCTAGGTTACTTTCTGCTTCTAACCGATGCTATCTGAATCTGCATGCTCAAAATCTTGATAAGAAAATATCGGTTTCCGTCAATAATTACAGCAGCACATTCTGGGTCTGGGATGAGAACCGCATTTTGTCTACCTGTAGTCAACTTCTAGCTTTCTTGATCAGTAAAATTAGGGCTCTCGAGTTCACCCATGCTAGCAGAAGCAAATGATTCAAAGGATTCTACTGATGATAGGGATGAAGCGGAATCATCAGAATCTGAGCCAATTTCATCATGTATCATAATGTGATCATCATCAATTTCAGATGTGTCCGAGCCAGATGCTACCATTAGAAGCTTGTTTATTGCAGATTTTGCAGTTTCAACAAACCATTCATCCTCAGGGAGTGCACTGCCAAGATAAGGCAAAATTAGTTGCCAGCAGAAAGTGAAGGTAAGAACAGAATATCAGAATGGGAAGGATGCGTACCTTTCAACATCTCTGGCAGTGAAGGTTCTGATTGCGCGAGCAGTTATGGCAGATGCAATCTGGTGCACATGCCTAGATGGGTAACCCGCAAAACGAGCTATTTCAACAGTGAAATGCATATCAAGAATTAACTGCCAAAACAAAGTCACATTAGAATTTAATGGGGCAGTGACAGCATTATAGGCATATAAAATTACAATGCCAAATCAAGGGCCTTCTATTGCCAGGTTTGTCTACACATGAATAGCTTGAGGCCAAGGAACAAACAGATTAAACATGGAGTTGCCAAGATGATTTTGCAAGAGAATTTTATGATCTAGAGGTACAACGGGCCTCAACAAATGCCACGTGGCATTAAACAGAATAAACAAAAGCAGAAGCTCATGTATCACGTATATAGTACACAGCAAAATGTACAGAAAAGATTTACTTAGAAGGTTAAGTGAAGCCACTTTCAAATGATGAAATAACAAAAATGAATTTTTGCAAAAGTGGCAGAAGATGAGGATAAGCACACCGTGTGAATTATTCAAAACATAAACATAGCTGACAATGATTTACATCTTTGAGTGCACAATTGCAGAAAACTGTTCAAAACACATATATTTTGCTTCCTTTTCCACTTTAACATAATATTGAAATCGAAATAAATCCTGCAATCTATGGTAAAGATCAACCATAAACCTAGAAGGAAAGAGATTTAAATAAGGATGCAATGATAACTTTCAAAAGTAATAATATTCAAAAGGAGATAGAAATGCTTCAGAACCAACAAAAAACAGTCATGGAAAAAAAATTTACCTGCTGTAATCCAAGTGGCTGAAGTGGAGTGGATTTATCCTCAAACACACCCCAGAATTCCTGCTCATCAGACAACCACATTAGAACAGTCTCTGTCAGTCTAGCAAGCAGAATTTTTTGCAGTTTCTCTTTTCCAAGTAGCATATCTCCAGCCACAGTTGCTAACTGCTGCAGCTTTGAAAATAATGCCTGCAATAATAATAAAACAAAAACTCAGAATTAGCAAGAGATGATTTCAGTCAAGTGTGTAATATGTCCAAATTTTGCTTGTATGGATGACAGATAAGTCCTCACATGCCAACATGGGAAAACGATTTCTATTGACACCTGAAGTGAAACTTATAAATACAGCTTCTCATATGGAATCACGTAACACATTTTAAATGCCAATATACATACAATTTGCATTTTTATGCACAGAAGGAAAATAAAAGAGCTTGCAATTTAATTCCTATTCATGCACTAAAACAGATTAACAAGTTACCTCAATTGAAGAAACCAAAAGATATATGTAACTGTAAACCATACTGGTAATGTATAATCTGATAAAAAAAAGCAATAAAAGGTGCAGGGGAGATTCTTAAGAAATTACAGATAAGACAAAATAACTAAATATTCTAGAATTTAAATGATTTGTATTTCCCTAAAGATATAACAACTACCCTAATTCTAAAGATAAAAAAGAATAAGCTTAAAATGGAAAGAAAAATAAACTCTTCCATGTGCAGCATCTAAAGGAATGGAAGAACTCTTGTGCCGTAAGGGAAGTTAGTGAGATTACCTGAAATGGCAAAGAAGGCAGAGTGTCCCATTGTGAATCTTCTCCATCTCCACCCAAATAAATTTGTGCATTTAGTCGTGTTTTACCTTCTCTTGAATAGATGAAACTCAAAACATATTGCCTACAAAAATGATCTCTGAGCTTGTCAAAAGAGTGCTGAAGCAGGCGCCTCCAATCTTTTAATTCTGTAGTGGTGCTTGCATTAGGAACAATGTTTTCATTTCCTGGTTCCTGGTTTTCACTTTTTGGACTCCAAATTTTAACTACCCTACTAGGTAACAGTTCATCCATAATTGTAAATGCTATTCCCAGAATAGCTAGCTGCTCTGAATCTGTTTCAGCTCTAAAAGGTATGGTCTCTTTCAGCTCGGTAAGACTGTCGTCATCAGAAGGGCCAGGCAGGGCTCTAATTAGTGCATCCATATACTTATCAAACAGCTGTGAAATTCTAGTTAGTACGTTTCCTCCAAAATGCAAAACAACCAGCGGCGTAAGCTGATCCAAAATATCCTGTCCATGACATTTTAACTTCAGCATTGCATCACTAAAATATTTGAGTAGCAAAAGAACAGTAGACTTATTGTTTCATTCTTGGATGCTGGCATGCAGAATATTCTATACTTTGTAGTTATTGCATACATAGATCTTTGTAGCTAAAAGCCACGATGTTAAAATTCAAAACATACCATGCATACTAATAAGTTTTATATTTTGCAGCCACTTTTTGTGTTTTTTAATATAACTTCCATCTGCCAATGAAAGACTAAGGAATAATACTTTAAATTAATTAATTAAACAAAACCAACAAACAAAAGGTAAGCACGCAAACATGAATACAAAGCTTAAGCAAAGGCATAAATGCCCTGCACCCATATGTAAATTAATTCTAAAATTCCATATTGATCGCTTCTCTTGTACATATTGTACCTATAATGGCGGAGCCTTTCTTTCAAGCACTTTCTCAATGTGATTTAATTTGATAAAAAGTAGTAAAGAACTACAGATTACTTCTTCAAAATACCTAAATTCAATCATATGCAGTAAAATCGTATTCCAATTCTTCAGCCTCTATCTCTAGAAAAGTGTCACTTTTAGGTCACAATTGTTTACGTCTTAACGTTTTTAAATGAATGAAGTATTTATGGTGATTGAGGTGCAAACATGCAAAAGAAATAACATTTTAAACATGGAAAAAAGACCAACTTACAGCCATAATATACAAAAATTTCATTCCACTGTCTACGAGCACACTATCTGAAGAAGTTGCAAAGGCCGACAAAGAAGACACAAAGTGAGGTGACATAGGCAAGTTCTCATCAACTTCTATTGAGTCAAAAACAGCCTTTCTAGCCCTCCTAAAATTCAACTCCAGCACTTCCTCTATGTATGGACGCAAGAGCACCAGAAGCAACTTTGATAGTTTCAACCCCTGTGATTCCAGCATTGAGCAGTAGTTAAGGCTATCCTGAACACAAATGCTAGCTGCACGTAAAGCAGAAACTGTTTCTGAAGAAGGTGCATTGTCCTTCACCAAACGAACAAAAAATTCAATTTCCCACTCTGCCCACTGAACAACTCTATTGGTATAAACAGGATTGTCACCAAATATCAAGCCAGATTCTCTAGTTGTCAACGAGATCATAGAAAAAACAAGCCTAGACAGTGTGGCAGGAAATGTCTTCAGGCAGACAGAACATGAAGGAAGAAAAACCTCAATGTTTTTTTGCAGGCGGGAACCACTACATTTCAAAAGTAATTGATGTGCTGAAGGACCTTTCCCAAGCCTAATTAAACCAGATAATGCCTTCTTTAGTTCATTAGCACTAACTGCAGGCTGTTCAGCAATCTCAATAAGCTGATCCTCAAGCATTGCCTTCCTTTCTAGAAAAGAAGACTTGTAAGAGGATGCTTCAGTTGAAGAATCTCCAGAACCTTTTAGCTCAGGAAAGTTTCTCTCCTCAGCCTCTAAAGCTTCCTGTGCTTCTTCAACTTTATGTTCAGCCAAAAGAACATCAATTTTCTCAAGGAATATTTTCTTGCGATCGTCCATTTTATTTGGCAAGGGATCTTCAACTACACTAGTTTCAGGGTCTGGCGGCATGTCATTGATATCAGCATTTGCCCGGTTCCACTCATCCAATTCATGACACACCCCAGTCATTAGATCCTGCACAAGAATCCCTTGAGAAGAGATATGCTTTCTCAGCTCAATCAGTTCATGCTCCATTTCAACAACTTCTTCAGATATTCTACAATTAAAATTACAATCAATCATACTTATTTGAAATAGATAAAATAATTAATAGAACTATAGTTAGAAAACTTTTCAAATTCATTTTCATTTATCATTAAGAGGTGAACGGGAACACTTCTATTTTACCTCAAGAAAGCCAAGTATTTGGTGCGCATATTCCCACTTAAGTTCTCCACAGCATCTTTCAGATCCAAAAGCTCACAACAGAGTTTTCTGATCCCCTGCATTATCACAATATCCAAAATTACATGCTACACTAGCAATAAAGAACACGAGAAAACATCAAATCTGACGATGATGGTTGAAACCAGGTAATTTCATGCTCGTAAAAGGAGAATCTTTGGGCAGGAAAAATCAGGGAAATAGAGAAACTTTTCCAATGTTTAACTAATAAAACATATAACAATACAGATTAATAATTACAATTCCATCAAATACATAGGTGATTTTTGATTGATTAAGCTGAGTGAGCAAAAACCCATGTAACGAAATCCCAAGAAAGACCTTTTTTTTTTCACCTCCTAGATAGAAAATGTAGAAAATAAAGCTACATTTTTCCCTGAAATTTGACTAGAAATAGGACCAACCCATATTCAAGAGAACAAATCTACAGTAAAAGATATAATTATAATCAAAAGCTCAGGTAGAAAAATGGGCGACAAAGCATAAGAAAACCCAGAACTTAGAATCTAGCATCTAAAGTTTGAAAGAAAAGAAAAAGCAAACAAGAGAAAATAAAAAGAAGCTACTTTCCCTTTCCAATTTCTGGGAAACAAGCAAAAAAAAAAACAGGGAATAATGCAGACGGTGGAAAAAATGACCTTTTCAGTGCGGGATTGATGAACAGAATCAATCTTGGACTGTGGAGTGATGCTCTCAATAGATGGGAAGTCATCATCTTCTTCACTGCTCTCCATTATTCAATCTTTGGGGGGTTACCCCCCTCTTTCAATCGTTGGGAATTCAAATATTTGTTTCTTCAAGCTTCAGTGAGTGAAACTGAGAGTCAGAAATATTGAACAGAGCAAAGAGGAAGAGTTCGAGATAAGAAGCATCAAGTAAGAAGAAAAAAAAAAGGACTAGTTTGGTGAGGACCGAGGAGCAAACTGCAAAGAGAACATGTAATGTTTGTTGTTGGCTTTCCCCACTTTGGGACTTGTGTGGGACTCTTCCCATTTAGTTTTACCACTTGACCTTTAGGAATTAGACTTGTGAATTTACAACAAGTGTCGTGAAATGCATGACATCCACGCTATCAGCAAGCTACCCATGATCATTCATGGAAATTCTAATTTATTTTAAAAACATAATATCACCTAAATTATTTTTAAAAATATTCAAATAAAAATTTATTTTTCTTTTACATTCACTCTAATTTTTATATTTTTATTTTAATCAAAATATTATTTATCATTTGATATTTATATAATTGATGTGGTATTAATGTAAAATGTGAAAATATTACATAATCATATCACAATCAATATATCATGTTATATCTATTATAATATATCACATTAACATCATATGGTATATAATGATAAACAATATTAACTAATTATCATTAATCAAAATATCACTTGTTATTTTATATCCACATAATATTGAAATAACATTAATATAGATAGTGAAAAATACAACATCATTATGTAATCATGTAAAATTAACATATCACGTTATTATTTATTATAATATATTAACATATTACATCATCATCAATTATAATATATTACCATGTTACATCAGTGCTATATAATATACAATGATAAATAGCATTTTGATTAAATCAATAATTAGTTATAAAGGATTATTTGACTGAAAATAAAAATATGAAAACTTGTTTAACTCAAAATAAAAATACAACGATATATTTTGTTTAAAATAAAAGTATAAGAGCTTCATTAAATGTCGTAAAAATATACAAATTTATTAAAATTTTCTTAAATAGTTTAGAAGTCTATTTAAATATTTAGTCATAAAAATTTATTGAAAATTTTAAATAATTCATGAACTTTTTAAAATATTAAACTTATTTAAATATCTTACATCAATAATTAGTAATATTACCTAGGTAACTTCTTTTCATCACTCCTCAATAAAAAGTTTAATCATGAACTACTAAACTGAAGAACAATAAGAGGGAACCCATGATAGGCAATATTCCTAGCTCTATCTCTTTGTGAAATTGAAGTTGTTGGCATATCAATAACCTCACTTTTTATCCAAGCATTCAAATAAAATTCACGAATTTATTAGACTAAAAAGGTCAAAGTTTAAAGCCTAAAAATTATTGGCTTTATTTTGATTTATAACAGCCGTCTTAGCTCAGCCGGTAGAGCGCGTGGCTTTTAACCACGTGGTCGTGGGTTCGATTCCCACAGACGGCGTTTTCCAACCTTTTTTTGTTTATTTGTTTGAAATTTATTTAAAATTTAGTATGTAGGATAATTTTATTTGCGTCCAAGTACAATCAAACAAAGAAGATAATGCTGCTGATCCACTGCTACGCGTCACCACCTCACCCCTGTGCTTCCCACCGTCCCACCGTCCATTACCTTTTCAGGAAAACTCCAGCATCATCACCGATAATCTCTGCAACTTTTCCTCACCCCTCATCATCTTCTTCGTCTTCAACAAGGCGAACATTATCAGTGTCTATAGCAACCACCACCATTTCTTCATTAATCTTGTCATTCTATAGTTATAGTTCTACTCCTTCAAAATCGGCAATTAACACCGACTTCTTCGACCTCCCTAACTCCGGTGGTGTCAAGGCCTTGGACCTCCGTACTGGCACCGGTGCCACTCCCGTCGATGGAGACCAGGTCCTTTCTTTAATTATTAGTAAATTTCTTTTATTATTACAAACTGGGCTTCCATGTAACTTAAGAATTTTATATTTTTGCGTGTAATAAAGGACTCTTTGTTTTTGTTTATGAATGCATGCACCTAGTCACATCACATATAGTTTTAATGGCCTTCTCGCGTATCTAATTGTTGAGTATGAAATATAATTAAAAAGGTTGGGATACATTACTATGGAAGGCTGGGAGCAAAGCAGGGGTGGCGGTTTGATTCCACGTATGATCATAAAGATGGCGCCGGGGAACCAATTCCTTTTGTCTTCACCCTTGGTTCCGGGAAGGTAAGTTTGTCAGAACATTTAACTGGGTTTTGATTGTTTTAGTAGCTAGCTGATATAGTGTATTGATGTGAAGCTGAAGGTCTAAATAAACTACCTTAACCAATAATGTTCTTTGCTTTCTTTCTGTTTGTAATTTTGAATGGTTATAACGAAAACATATACAGGATTGAATTGGAATGAATTCCACCCGCAGTGAAAGATTGTTGGGGTTTAAGGGAAGGGAGGGAGGGTTAGGTGGGACTATGGGTTGATATTCACTGGCCTAATTTTATATTGTCTAGCAAGTCCAGTTTGTGTACATGGAGTTGGATGGTATTTATTAGATCCCAACTAATATGGTTTTCAAGTTCACCAACATTTATTAGATATCACTGACTTGCTAATCCATATCAGTTCAAGTTTGAGTTATGAAGAGTTTGAATACTCTATTTGATGATTTTATTGATAGGCATGTTGTGCTTAAATACAAGTTGTGATGGTAATACAAAGGAAAGAAATGTTTATAATAATTGCTGTCTAATGTAAAGGCATTAATTATGCCTTAGACTAAGAAATTAGAAGTTAATCATAGCAATTAGTCAATGATCATAGTCTATAATTAAGGAGCATAAGATCTCAAGTCAAATCTCCTTATTTAAGTTATGGCTATTGTATTGCATCGATTGAATTTGAATGTCTGCAGCCATATTACAGCAGTAACTTTGGCTCAAAAAAATAAATGTAGGTCATTTCTGGGATTGAAGCAGCTGTCAGATCAATGAAAGTAGGTGGTACTCGTCGAGTTATCATTCCTCCCTCACAAGGATATCAGAACACTTCGCAGGAACCTATTCCTCCTAATGTATGTAATGTTGTTACCAACTTCTTTTCATTGGACCCTTACATTTCCATTGTTTCATCATTTTGAATTTATTTTCTCTTAATTTCCAATTTGGAACTCCTTACTATTAGTATTATGATTTATGCTTCCAAGCCTTCATTTAAGTATACAAAAAACTTCAGCCAAAGGGAAAAAAAAATGAAAAAGAGGTTTCAATCTTGAGAAGTCTTCAGTTCTGAGGAATATGTATGAGTTATGAATTCTTTGGTCTAATTTCACTGTAGGGTGATGAATTTAGGGGAAAAATTTATGTTCTTTCTGCAAATAACCATTGAGTAGCATTGCCAGTGATGTCAGGAAATGACCGTGGAGATTGCTGGATACAGTGATATAGAAACATATGTTCATCTTCGTGATTCCTTAGTAAAGGAACTTGGACTCAATTTCTTTCATGATTTCCAAAATGTTTTTTCCAAAATGAAGGTATGCTTAGAAAAATTGAAGATATTCATTATTCAGTAATTTGTATATTTCAGCTGGTACTTATAGTTAACTGATAGGAACACGTTTTAGCTGACACAGACCTTTAAGGTGGTAGAATTGCTAAAGCCTGACTAAAATGAATGTTTGTTTTACTTTGGCATGGTTTTCTTTTAGCTATAGTACTCTGATCTGGTTGTTACCACTTACCAATGTTTACTTGTCTTCTGTTCTGCTATAGTTCTTTGACAGGCAGAGGCTGTTTACTACCATTTTCAATCCAACCCGCCTTGCAAATGGAGAAGGTTCAACATTGGGTACCCTAATATTTGATATTGAGTTGATCAGCCCAAGGCACTTGTAAACTCAACTTCCATTTTATAGCACTTGTAAACTCAACTTCCATTTTATAGCACTTGTAAACTCAACATATCATGGTGTTCAACCCCGAGCTTTGCTAACGAATCCGCAAAGAAATTCGCTTCTCTCAAGATGTAGACAAACTCGACCTTGCCACAGTTTTCCACCAACCTGCACTTCATGTGTTTTCCGTGGTCTTAACATTGGATATTGCACACCCAAAAGATGGGCACCTCAAGAGTCTAACTCCATTACAAGTGCCTCACTGCTACACCAAGGAAAGGGGCAAAACACATGAAGTGCAGTTGTGATGGCCATCAATTTAGCATGGTTTGAATCCTGGACACCCAGGAAACTCTTGCACACCAATTCCTTCCAAGCTAAATTCTATTCTCTCCTCCCTTTCCTATTTGTGTTAAAGTTCCCAACGAAACACCAGTTACCAGGATCGGCGATGCTTCTACACCAATATTCATATATTTGGTCTTTTTTATACGAGAAAATAGATAAAATTTAATTGTCAACCTTTTCTTTTAAATTTTTATTCAATTTTAATGGGCTCAATAGAGGAAAAATACCAAAAATTTTCATGGCACATAAATAATAACTTTTCAAAGTTAAATGGTGTGGAATGACTCCATTGAATCAAGTGCCTGTAGCTCGTCCCTGACAAAAACTGATCTAACCCAATTGAGTTGTTCAAAATCTGATTTATTTTAGGTACATATATAATTTGCAGTTAAATTTAAAATTGACTTGAACTTAAACTAAATCAAATTATGATCCCATCTCCAAACTGAAAAGCCATCGATATTGTGATCCAAAATTCCAAATTCAACTCAAATGAAACCAAAAAAGATAAAATCTTTCTTTCTCACTGAACAACCAATTAAGCAGCTTTCACACGATTGCATTAATACCGATCTTGGTATAGTTCCCAGAATGAATCTCTCAAGGAATATAGTCTTATAGCAGTATATAGGCAGAAAGAAAATAAGCATTATTCCTTCTTCGGGACCATATTTAATGGAGTGTTAGGCTGGCAACTTTGATTCTTTGAAGGCGTCCTAGCCGATCACTTTCTGCACAGAATTTGAAGTGATATCTATTAAAACCTCCCTGCTGTACTCTAGGCCTAGTTTGTTAATATGGTTGCAAAGTAGGGTAAAATACAAAACACCCTTTCAATATAGATTGTTTCCAAATGTATTGTTTGGACTATTCATTATTCTTAGTCAATCGTTATTTATTAATATAAAAAATCATAATTACTCTCAAATAATTAAAAAATAAAAAAATACAAACAATATCATAATCTTTTTTTAAAGGTAACCGTAATCTAATTTAATTAAATGATAATGAAAATGTTTCTTATCCAACATTTTTTAACTAAAAAAATAAAAAAAAAAGACACATAATGATGAAAAAGGAAAAAATTAAAAGAAAGAAATAAATTCTTTAGGATTTTTTATTATCAATTATAAAAAACTTATAATTTTGAAGTGAAAAAATAAAAGCTAAAAAAAATTAAATAATAATATTTTAACTAAACTATGTATAATTTTTTATTTTTTTTTCTATTTTCCCTTTGTTCTTTCCCTCTATCTTGTTTTCTTCTGGTTGGTGTCGAAATACATAATGGTCCCTTTCTTTTTCTTCCCCTTTCTTGCTTTATCTCTCTCAATTATATTTCAGTTAAATTATGCAATTAGTCCTTATTCTCTGACAAAGTAGTGGATTTAATCCCTATACAATAATTTGTAAAATTTAAATTCTTATACTTTTTAAAATTGACAATATTAGTCCAATTACTAACATTATTAAAAATTTTCTGTTAATTACCCTAACATAATATTTTCTTATTGATGTGGTATCTAATATGATGATCTGTTAATGATGATGTGATATTTTTTTTTACCTATTTCACAACACTCTTTTCACTACTAGTCAGAAATTCACTGTTTCTCTATCTCACAACACCCTTTCTCAAATTTTCAAAACTTATTCGTATTTTTAATTTGTTTCTTTTTCAATCCTGTTTAAAACTATTAGCTTATATTTTCATATCCAAATTTATAAAATCCACGTTAGTACTTGGTAAGGTTACATCGTTATTACTATTTCATCATTCGTAAAATGTTACACCATCAAATTTAATGTCACAATTAATAAAAGAATGACACGTCAACATAATCAAATACTATATTAGTATAGATAATAAAATATTACTAAGATATAAGACTGATGTTATTATTTTTGGAAAATAAAAAGATTTGATTTTTACAAATTATTGTATAGAGACTAAATTCATCACTTTGATAAAGTACATGGACTAATTACATAATTTGACCATTAGATCTCTCCCTCCTTCAATTTTTAAGCACCGGTGTGACTACAATCTAAAATCATTACTATAAAGACATCAACACCATATAGTAAAATTTTATAAAATTTGAATAATTATTTTTTATAAAATATTGTAAATTTATTAAATTTTTGTAGTTATTGTTGAAAAATCCACTATATGGTGTTGGTATCTTGGTAATAATGATTTTAGGTTGTAGCCATGGTGGTGCATAGAAATTGAAGGAGGGAGAGATTGAAGAAGGGAGGGAAGAAAAAGAAAACAACCTTTATGCTTTTCTACACTAGAACAAGGAGAACCAGAAAAGGGGAAAGAACAAGGAGAAAATAGAAAAAAAAATTAAAAAAATTAAACCTAATTTAATTAGAATATTGGCTTAAATTTTTTAAGCTTTTTGTTTTTTCACTTCAAAATTATGAGTTTTTTTAATTATTAATAAAATAAAACTAAATAATTTATTTTTTTCATCCTTATGTGTCCTTTTTTTTGGTCAATAAACATTGAATAAAAATATTTTTATTTATTATTTAATTAGATTAGATTATGATATTTTTTGTATTTTTTTATTTTTTAATTATTTGAAGGTAATTATAATTTTTTATTTGTAAATAAACACCTGACTAATGGTAATAAATAGAGAATGGGTCAAACAATGTACTTTGAAATAAAAGGTGTCAAAGTGTAATTTAAAAGTTTAGTGGGGGGTGTTTGTATTTGACCCATACAAAGTACATGTAATTAATTTTGATTCCAATGTTGAGTTACCGAAGCGAATTTTGTTGTATTTTTTCCTTTACAACCTGTCATCAGGTTGTCCTTGTGTGGGCGGATTAATTTTCTTATGGTTTTCAGAACTCTTTGCTTTTCTTGAATGAAATTGCATTCATTTTACGTACCAAAAAGATGAACAGAGACCATCAGTAGGCGCAGATCTATGAGCCGGAATGCCAAACAGAAATGGGGGCTGTATATGGCAACTTATTTAATAAATTAGGACGCCATTTCATGATATTTTTCTGGAAATTAATAGAAAAAAATTAAAAAAAAATTAAGCGATACTGAAGCATCATGTGTCATATATGTTTTTATTAAATATCAAGCGATAGTAACTTGGGGAAGTAATTATCATTTGTCATATATGTGGCCAAAAAAATTGGAATCTTCAGTGGTGAAATACTCCATCCTCCTGGGTTACCTCTGCTTGCTTTCCTATTTAAAGCATCGAATGAACTTGAGTTAATTAACTCCTTTCAATTTGGGACGTTGGTCATAACACATAACATAAAGTTGTACCTGATCTGCAGATCTTCCAAACAATTTTATCAGTTAGCTTGTCTGGTTGTCTTGCAAATTTTTGGTACATGGGCACCATTTCGAACAGGCTTATCATCATTTGCTCAATGTGTCAGATTTTAGCAGTCCACTTGTCGCCATGCATCTGCTCTGCAGCAAATGTTTCCGCTATTTTTGTTTTTGGAGATTCTCTGGTTGAGGCAGGAAACAACTACTACATTAACACCATTGCAAAGCCAGGGTACCCAAATGGTATTGACTTTGCGAAAGGGAGTCCATCCGGACGATATACCAATGCTCGAACAGTTGCTGACATTATAGGCAAGTTTCGCAATTCCTTTGTGAATATAAGCCATGTTGCGCCTCAGCTAATTTCCCAAAATTTGTGTTTCAGCAGAAGAGGAATTGGGTTTTGAAAGTTACTCTCCTCCTTACCTGGCTCCTAGTACAACTGGAGATGTGATTTTAAAAGGTGTCAACTATGCCTCTTCTGGAGCAGGAATTTTGACTAATACCGGCTCAATTTTTGTAAGATTCCTTCTTCATTTTTACTTCTCAGTAAGGATTTCATTTTTCCATTTTAAAGATATTGATTGTGATTGTAGGCTTGAACAACCTTCGAGTCTTGATGGTCACAAAATGGAGTTACCATACATACATGTTAAATTGAATCTTCAGTCAAGTAGTTTTGACATATTTGTCATGTAAATCCTTATAAGGGAATGAAGGAGCTAGGAATGGGGGGGATTTCATATGACACTGATGAATGGAATTGATTATTATTGTAGGGTGAGCGTATTTGCATGGATGAACAAGTCAGTTACTTTGCAAAAACTAGGCAAGACATCATCTCAAGACTTGGCGCAACAGCGGGTCAAATACTGCTCAGAGAGGCACTCTACCTTCTCGCAATTGGCGCCAACGATATCTTATTCCGGCAGGGTATTACTCAATATGTGGATGATGTGCTTTCCAAATTCAAATCCCAACTCATAGTAATGTCTCTTCCAGCTTACCCTCTCATTTCATTCCAACTATATATGCTTATAATTGAAATCTTACTACAAAAATGCATTACTATCATTGTAGGCTCTTTATAATTTGGATGCTAGGAAGATTATAGTGACAGGTTGCGCTCCCGTGGGGTGCATCCCTTTTGAGAGAGATGTGCGTTCATCTCCCGACAGTTGTGTTTCCTCCGTGAATGCCCTGGCCAAGTTATATAACTCTAGATTGAAGCGCCTGCTCCAAGAGCTTACAACCAATCTTCCAGGATCAACATTTGTTTTTGTCGATAATTTTGCAATATTCGAGGATATCATGGACAACTATAGATCATATGGTGATTCACATTTTTCTTTCGACACTTTGATAAGATTGGAATTTTGAAAATGACTTAAAATTTGCAGTCTTTTCCGCTCCGTGATGACGTATTTTTCCTTCTTTTCCAGGATTTGAGAATGTAGACTCTGCTTGTTGTCGAGTAATTGGGCGGCGTGGTGGTCTGGTCGCATGCGGACCTTTATCTCGAGTGTGTCCAGACAGAACAAAGTTTGTCTTCTGGGATCCATTCCATCCAACAGAATCTGCTAATCTGATTGGAGCAAAGCATGCATTGGATGGTGACCGTCAATATGTTTCACCCATGAACATCCGACAGCTTGCTAATGCTTGATCAGTAACCTATTCAAATAATCTGAATAAACTGTTTCTTTTTTTGGAAAGACGAATTTATTAACCTCATAACCGGCATATGTCATCGTGAGTCTCATACAATCTCTATAAAATATTAAAGCAATGAAAAATTGATGACATCCAAGAATAACTGATAAGGAATCTTTTCGTAAAACAATATGTACTACGTGGTGTAACATTTGAATTTATGTCAATCCAGCTATCCTTATTCGTTCATTCCTATTTCTTTAGGTTCAAGAAATAAAATCATAGTAAAAGCATTTCTCAAAATATAAAATAACATTGTAATTTGAATGTTGCTACTTTGGATCCGACCCATACCGGCAAGTCATCACCTCATTGGAATAACACGTGGGCAAAAATAATCAACTGAAGCTTTTGCTGTTTTTGTTTAAACTCTAAGGAAGGATGGTTCTCTGTACCAAACACTGTGAGAGATAGAGAGAAATAAATTGTTAAAAATGAATAAAATGTATTATATATAGTAAGGTAATTCTTTAAATTAATGAAAGATATTTTTGTTTATTAATATTTTTACTCTATTCTTTGCTTCTTAGAATAGTCAATACTAAGGAGCCTTGATATTGGCTAATCTCTTATCTCTCATTCCTTCCAACCAAATAAAATGTTAAAGAAAGATTAGGACTAGGTTGAATGGCTATTCCATTCCCCCAACCAAATATTGTGCATCTTCTCCACAAATTAGAAAACCACCCAAGTGCTCAGAAGAGATCATTTTTATTATGAAAATTCCCAAAAAAATAATAATAAAAGATAAAATTCAAAAGAATCAATGAAACAAATAAAAAAAAAAAAAGAAAAATTTACATGGTGGTATGACTTTTGCCTATATTCTTATATTGAACAATCCTTTTATTATTAAGAAATTGAAGTACAATAAAATCTTTCTCAATAGTTTCTCAAACCAACTTGAAGATGTCTTATATTGTCACTAGCACTTAATAGTTACAAGGTGTTCCTTTTTAGGGTTCCTAAAAGCATTACTAATCTTTTAAAGTCAAAAGAGTATGAAAGGTCCAAATTAATAGGATTAAAACTTAATACATAACAAGCAATTTAAAATAGTATAATACTTAATGTTGTACACAAACTATAATCTTTACACATAATTTTGAATTCTTGTCAATTTAAAACTCAAGACTCTCTACCTTTAACTTAGTTGATGACAATGTAATTGTTAGATTTAAATTAAATAATTACAATGTTACTATACAAAAAAAGTAATTTATCAGTTTATTTGAGCTGTTGATTAATAATTCTAGATTGTAGAGATATATAATTTCATTACATGAATCCAAAGAATTGGGATTCAAGAAATTCTTACCGTCACCAAGGATCCCAAATTATAAGCAACTTTATATTATTCCATCTTGTGAAACCATGGCATTTCCTCTGCAATTGCAACCAAACCATTATAATTCCTTGGATCTTGAAAACCAATAGATTGTTAGAGCTGGCACAGCACCATTTTTAGTTTCTTAACAACTTCTGTATGAATTGCAAACGCAATGTCAAATAAGTTAAGGCTTTTTTTTTTTTTTAAGTTCAAATTGATGTTTTAATGAAAGTAAACACAAAGTTTGGTCATATGTAATTTGTTCAAATGTCAATTTCTAGCACAATAACTTTTCAATTGGACCACAATGCCTGCAGTGATAGACATCACCTACTGCTACTCTCTCTGAGCCTAATTTGTTGTTGCTGTCGCAAAAGTACATATAGATTCTGAAGCTATGGCCGACTTTCTGTCTTTGCATATTGAGACAGGAAAGTTGTAAGTTGCTCGAAAATATATATATATATATATATAATATCAGATGTATAAAATTTTTATTATTGTTTCTGTTCTTTTTTTAAAACAAATTATTTAAAATACATAACTAGAATAGAAGAAAAATTGTGGTAGGCGCAGATCTAGGAACCGAAATAACAAAGTGATGGCCTGTAAAACAAATGTAAATCGTATTATTGGCTGCGGGCCATGTGTAAAACTGTAAAGTTACACTGTGTTGGCAACTTATTACTAAATAGTAGCAGACATATGTGACACAATAGAGTTTTGTTGTCGGGGTTATTAAATAATACAAATGTATATGCAAGCTAGCTTTGCCTTTGACATAGTAAGAAAACTTATGTCATGAAACCTAAGAAGTGATATTATAGTAATTACTATATTAATGGTTTTTGTTAAATGAGTATATATTTATACATAGTCTATTAATAGTTGGATCAACAATGTATCAATAATTAATTAAAAATATACGTTAATGTGATGATTTTCGAATTATATATTTAAATAAAATATTAAAATTTATTTAAATTATTTAATATTTTTTGTACATGATGTGTTTATTGAAAAGTTTTATCGATTTAATTGTTTAATTTCCAAGTTCTTACTAAAGTTGTCTTTCATAAGAAATTTAACGACATAGTATTTAAAAGTTTCTAATTATTCAAAAAAAATTAAATAACTCTTTATTTTTTTATTACATTCAATTAATTTTTTATATTTTTACTTTTAACTAAATAAGTAGTATATTTTTTATTTAGAATCAAATTAGCCCTTATAATTAATAATTAACTTAATCAAAATGTCACTAGTCATTTTATGCTATGTGGCACGTATGTTAAAATGTTATAATTGATGATAACATGGCATATTAACATATCATAATTGATAATGGCTTGATATGCTAATGTGACATGGTAACATTATCATGTAGTATTTTTTACTTTTGTTATTAAAGTTATGTCAGTATCATATAGATATAAAATGATTAGTGATATTTTAATTAATAAAAATTAATCAATTATTAATTATAAAAGCTTATCTGATCCGAAATAAAAATATATAAATTTAATTGAACATGCTAAAAGAATAAAAATTTATTTAAATTTTTTTAATTAGTTTTAGTATTTGTTTCGAGTATTATGCCAAATCTAAATTAAGGAACTCCTTCTAAGTCTTACCCTTTATACTAACATCAATTAATATAATCTTAGTAATCAATCACATTTTAAGATTGAAAACTCGAGATGGTATATTAATGCGGCTGTCTCATTCTTCGTTCCTAGTACCCATAGTACCTTTGCTTGCTTTACCATTTAATGCATCAATATAACAATCTGTCTTTAATAAGTCCTTTACCACCTCCGAGTTTGCTGGATGGCTACAAGCATAAAAGACTACTGTTTATCTCTGCAAATACATCCAAATCAATCTACAAATTAGTTTTTTCGAGGGGATTTTCTGGTACATTTTTGGTAAAATGGGCACCAATTTGAACAGGGTTTTCATCATCCATGTAATGTATCAGATTTTAGCCATCCATTACTCGCCAGGCACCTGCTCTGCACAAAATGTTTCTGCTGCTTTTATATTTGGAGATTCTCTGGTTGATGTAGGCAACAACTACTACATTGACACAGATGCAATGCCAATGTTTCCAAATGGTATTGACTTTGTGAATGGAAGTCCATCCGGACGATACACCAACGCTAGAACAATTGGTGACATTATAGGCAAGTTTTGCTCTTCTTATGTAATGTAACCTCAGATAACTATCAGATCATGATATATATTATGGGAACAACTTAAGATGTTGTTGAGAGCTTCGTTACTTTCTAAAATTTTTTGTTTCCGCAGAAGAGGAAATGGGTTTTAAGAATTTCACTCCTCCTTTCCTGAACCCGAACACCACAGGAGATGTGGTTTTAAAAGGTGTCAACTACGCTTCTTCTGGATCAGGAATTCTTAATTCCACCGGATCAGTCTTTGTAAGAGTATCTCTTTCTTCTTTTATTTATTGGTAAAGGATTTCATTTCCCGTTTTATAGAGTTAAAATGTGATTACATCCTTTTACCTCAGTAGTTATTCGAAATTTGATTAATGGAACTAGTTGCTTTATTTTTTAGGGTGCCCCAATTTCCATGGATAAACAAATCAACAACTTCGCAAAGACTAGGCAAGACATCATCTCAAGAATCGGTGCTCCAGCAGCTCAGGGACTGCTTACACAGGCATTCTACTTGGTTGTGATTGGCTCAAATGATATCTTCTCGGCGGAGGCTTCCACTTCTCGTGATGTTTATTTGGATAATTTAATTTCCAAATTTCAATCCCAACTCACAGTAAATATTTCTTCAAGCGAACTCCTATCTTCAACTATGTGTTACATATATAATAGCTAAAATCTAACAGCAAAAATTGCATTTCTACCTTGTAGACTCTTTACAGTTTGGATGCAAGAAAGATAGCAGTGACAAATGCACCTGTCGTTGGGTGCATCCCTTTTGAGAAAGATTTACACTCATCCCAAGGTGGTTGTGTTGATTTCTTGAATGAATTAGCCAAGTTATATAACACTAGGTTGAAGAGCCTACTCCAAGAGCTTACAACAAATCTTGCGGGATCAACATTTGTTTATGTAGATCTTTACACAATTGCAGAGGACATATTACAGAACTATAAATCATATGGTAATTTACGTTTGCCCTTTGACGTTGATATGATATTGGAAACTGGAAATGGGATACGTTTGAAATTTGCATCTTCTAATACTCTTTGATGCGCTTGTCTGTCTGGGTTGCTTTCAGGATTTGAAAATGCAGAATCTGCTTGTTGTCAAGTAATTGGACAACATGGTGGTCTAGTTCCATGCGAGTCTTACTCTCGAGTTTGTCGAGACAGAACCAAGTATGTCTTCTGGGATCCATTCCATCCAACAGAGACTGCTAATCTGATTACAGCAAAGCATGCACTAGATGGTGGCCTCAACTATGTTTCGCCAATCAACATTCGACAACTTATGAATCCTTGAGCAGCCTTTAAAATGCATTGAATTCGATATGAGGATTCAGATCGATATGAAACCCATCAATCGAATAATAAATTAATGCATTACATCGATTTTAATAGTTCGGAATCCCTTCCCAACACTATGCATTACTTTTGCTATCAATTTTAATACTATGTTGAAAGGAAGACCCAAAAAAAAGGCAGTTTGGCTGTGCTGGCCGACAGAGAGAACGGCGACAGTTGTGGAGGAAGACAACGATTGTGGAGCTAGGGTTTGCTTCGAGAGAGAAGCGGGGAGAGGCAGATGAGGAAGAGAGAGAACAAGAGGAAAATGAGGAAAAAGAAAATTTTTATATACGGTAAGATTAATAATTTCACAAGATAAGCAGGATAATTTTTGTTTACAAATATTTAGACTTTATTTCTTGAAATTCCAAATAATTAATACTATAAGTGGATAAGTATTAACTATTCGTGCCATTTATAGGAAGGACCATTTTGAAGTTGGATTTTAAACCAAACAAATTGAGTCTTGTTATGAAATAAATCTAAAAGAATAATTAGAAATATAAGAAAAAGTATTTAAAGGGAACAAAAATATTTAGGAAAAGAGAAGAAATCTTGGGTATACAAATGAACTAAGGGACCCATTTATAGAAAAATAACCCTTTTACAATATGAATATAACACCTAGAGATTAGATGGATTATATCCTAATATAATATGATTTATATCAAATTTAAATATAGATAACATAAATAGATATTCACAAAATATTCATAACAGGGCTCATATTTGAATAAGAGAAAATAGGATAATCATTCTCCTGGTAAAATATGTTATAAGAATATATTTCATATATCATATTATTAATGGTAAAATATTTTCATTTTTTTAAATTTTGATCAAAATTATACGAAATTTTATTAATTTTCAAAATAGATACTCTGTAAAAAAAATTTTCTAATGGACACATAGGTCTAACCATTAGTGTTTCTATCAATTTGATGATATTATAATATTAAAAAGAAAATTTTACCCTTTACTTAATTTTAAAAATCACTATTATATAGTTTTGTTAATTAAAAAAAAAAATCCCCATTTGAGGAGCAATGGAGCTCAGCTCTGTTGGGAGCACCAATCTAGTGCTCCCTTTCCCTCGGAGCACCGGCTGGCTCTCCCTCTTTTGGAGAGCACCGATTGGTACTCTTTATTTTTTTATTTTTAAAATATAATAGTAGTTTATTAAATTAATAAAAAAAATAATGTTTATAATAGTAGTTTAGTGTTTATTTTAAAAACTAATCGATTTATTTGAAATTTTAATTAAAATTTAAAGAATAAGATGTTTTACCTTATTATATTAAATATTAGAAAGGGTTCTCATTAAAGGAATTTTTTTTCCTTAAGCATAACAAAGGTCTCGAATTAAAAAAGGTTTACTTTTCTTTAATTATGCTACTCATCAAGATTTTATTAATGGGACAGAGAGATAGAGCACATTCTCCGAAACAGAAAATTTTTGTACATACGCAAGTGGAGTGGTTTAAGTGAATAAAAAGAATAACCATTAATAATTTAATTACATAATAAATTAAGCCTTCCGTATCCCATAGTCTCTTTATTTGGTATTATCTTGTAGATTATAGTAAGAGGTAGAAGATTTACGGGGATATGAAAGCCTACCTTTTTAGGGATCAATGTAGAGTTTTAGGGCTGGTTCTTAATTTTTCTTTTAAGGTTACAAATGCAATATCATTTATTTTAACATTTTGAGCTCAAATTGGCCTAATTTTTACTAATAACAATAATAAAGTTCCATCATCATTATTGTTCAAAGCCGGTTTTCTAGCAAACAATTTTTCTCTAAGAGCCGAAATGCCAAAGAAAATGGGGCTATACATGGACCACATCTTAAACTGTATCGTAATTATCTATACAGCTTATTAATATTGCACAAGACTTGGGTTAATATTCTTATAACATTGACTATAAATTGTATGAATAGTTTTCATAATTTATTTTCAAATTCATATAGAAGATATGGCGTCCTTATTTATGCAGTTGACAAGTGAGTCTCTTCAAATTTTTTAATTAAAAATAGTTAAATAAAGTAATATTAAAAATAAATATTTTTTAAAAAAGTATATTCAAAATAAATATTATTAGACTGATTAAATGAATACATAGATGACTGACATATAAAAAATTAATTAAAAATAATGATCTACCTAAATTTGACTTTTTTTTCTCTAGAATATCGGTAATAAATCATTTTTATGTGGATCGTTATTTACTCTCTAGATTATCTTTGCTTGCTTTAGCGTTCAATGCGTCAAGATAACTAGTATATGTATAAAATATAATTAGAGCAGTTGTATCAGATTTTAGCCACTTACTACTTGACAATGGCGGGCACTTGCTCTGCACAGAATGGTTCTGCGTTTTTAGTTTTTGGAGATTCTCTGGTTGAGGCAGGAAACAAATTCTACATAAAAACAATTGCAAAGCCAGGGTTTCCTAATGGTATTGACTCTGTCAATGGAACTCCTTCCAGACGATATACCCATGCTAGAACTGCTGCTGACATTATTGGCTAATTTCATTATTCTTTGTTATGAATTAACCTCCGATAATTATTAGTTGTTGAGATTAATGATTACTTAATTATTTACTTACAATATTTTTTTATCAGAAGAGGAATTGGGCTTTGAAAACTTTGCTCCTCCTTACTTGGATCCAAATACTGCTTGGGATGTGATTCTGAAAGATGTCAACTATGTCTCTACTGGATTAAGAATTTTTAATTCCTCCGGATCAATCTTTGTAAGAGTTCTAACAAGCCAAGTTATACAACATTAAACGGAAGAGCAGGCTCCAAGAGCTTACAGCAAATCTCGCAAGATCAACATTCGTTTTATTTAGATGCTTACGCAATTTTAGAAGGTATCCTACAAAACTATAAATCATACGGTGATTCACATTTTCCCTTGTACATTTTGGAATTTGGAAAATGGATTAATGTATCAAGTGCTTCTTGTTCTAACTCTTTGATGCCTGAATCTTCCTTTTGTTCAGGCTTTGAAAATGCAGATTCTGCTTGCTGTCAGATGCCGGGGCGGCGGCTGTGCGGCTCTTCCTCTGGTGTTTGTGTAGACAGAACCAAAACATGTATTCTGGGATCAATTCCATCCAACAGAATCTACTAGTCTGATTATAGCCAAGCAAATGCTGGATGGTAATCTTAAAATCTGCCTCTCCAATGAACCTCCGATGGTATATCAATAACATGTGAAAAGGAAAAAGGAAAAACAAAAAATGATTGCATCCATGAATTGGATAGTGACAGTTCTATCGTTTCCAATAAGAACAACAAGCATTACTCTGCTGTTTATAAGTAATATTTGAATTCACTAACACAAGCCCAAGGGCAAGACAACTGTGCTGTGTTTCCTATTTAAAAAAGATGCCTAATCACATTCTCTGCATCTGCTCCACACAATTTGGACATCCCAAGTTCATATGGACCCTTCAGGCATCAAGTGTCCGACAAAGAAATCATCAAAGTTATCAAAAATATCAACTGGATATGCTGAGTCCAAAAACCTTGTTATTGGACTATAATCAAATCACCCATTACCTAAATACTGGTACTGATTTTGCAATCTTAATATAAAAGATAAAAGAATCTTCATGATGAAGATGACCTAGTGTTAATCAGCTTTTTGGTTTTAAATAATTTAAAATCAAAAGGGAAAAAAAAGGGTTAAGTATACCTAATTGTGAAATAGGTGCAATGTTGAAATCATTTACATATCACTTCACTTTTAATGCCAACTATAGTCTTTGCTCACCAACATAATAATTCCTTTTATTTTTGTTTCCTATTTTGATGCCGACAGAAATTCTTATATTTAAACTGGAAATTTACATTACCTTAAAAGTGATTTATTTATTTATTTATTTATTTAAGTTTCTATTTTTTCCCTTTTTTTAAAATTAGTAAAAAAAAAAAGTTAAACTAAGATATTTTATTTTAAAAGCTATAAAATGTCATGAACACCTAAGTAGGGTTTGGTACGATGGAAGTAAAAACACATTTTTTACAATATGTCCAATTAAATTATATTGTAGTGTTTGTTTTGTAACAGATCACTGTAATGTAAGATTGCAATGTAATCACGTTACAGTTAAGAGATGTAATGTGATTGCAGTCTAAAATCAATGCAAACATATTACATTGCACTCTGTAATATTTTTAAGAATATTTTTACCTTTTAACTTTATTACCTTATTAAAATTTTTTTATAATGTTATAATTAAAATAAAAATATTAAAATAAAATATATAATATAAGAATCAAAAATTAAAATAAAATAAAATATAAAAAATTAAAATTTATATAATATAGATAAAATAAATTAAAATAAAATATATAATATAAAAATTAAATTAAAGAAATGAAAAAATATAAAATTATAATAATAAATAAAAATAAAATATATGACATTAAAAATATATTTAAGAGATGATATTATATAAAAATTAATAATAAAAAATATAAATATATTAAATTTATATTTTAATAACTAAGGGTACGTAAAGTACTTATAAACTAAACATTACAATGTTATTTTCTCTACGTTTTAATCATTATTTTGCTTGTATATCACACACTGTAATATTATTTTCCTTACAACTACGTTACTTGTAATCACATTGCATTATAAAGTATCAAACGTCACCTAATTTGAAATATAATTGAAGTAATTAACAACTATATAAGTGAAAATATTTTGATTAAGATAATTAATTAGATATATGTATTTACTTTTACCATTTAATTTGAAATTTGAACAAAAAAAAAAGGGTTTTCAAGAATAAACCCATTATATTACCCAAAAAAATAATCATTCAACTGTTGCTTTCTCCCTTAAATTTTAAACCTCATTAAACCCTTTTCACTTTGCCTTTTTCTTGTTTCTATCTCAAAAAAGCAACAAAAAAAAAATAAAAAAGAAGCCCAACAAAGAGTGATTCTGAAGAGAACCAAAGAGAAAGAGAAAGAGAAAGAGAGACAGAGAGAAAGCCTCTCAAATCCCAGATCTCTCTTTGCTTTCTCTTTGCAAACCCAGAGTACCATATCAAAAATTTCGAAGAAAAATGGTGCAGAAATCATTGATCTATGCGTTTGTATCTCGTGGGGAAGTTATTTTAGCGGAGTACACTGAATTCAGTGGGAATTTCAATTCCATAGCTTTTCAATGCCTCCAAAAGCTTCCTTCTTCCAACAACAAGTTCACTTACAACTGTGATGGCCACACCTTCAATTACCTTGTTGACAATGGCTACAGTAAGTTCTTCTTCTTTTTTTTTCTTTTTCAAGAAATTTAAATCGTGGCTTCCTTTATTTTAAAGCTTGGGTCGTTCGAAAATGAGCGGAAAAACCAAGATGAAAGAGAACAAAAAAACTTTGGGGCTTTCTTCTTTTCTTAATTTCAGGCTATAATTTTGATTGCTGGAAAAGAAATGGTATTTGAGATCCAGAGGGAAGGCTTGAATTTTGGGTTTTGCCCAATTGATTATGAGAAAATTGCTTGTTAGATATTTTTAAAAAAAAAACACAGAAACTTTATGTTTTATTGCTGTTGTTTTTGAAGTTTTAAAGTTTATCGCTGGTGATTGTATAAAGTAGTATTGGGAACTACTCAAATTGATTTCTTAGGAAATGATGGTTTATTGTGGAGATCTTGGGGTTTCATTCTTTTTAACATAAAATTAGCGCATATGTGGTGTACTGGATTCGTGCAGTGTGCAGGTTGTTAAAGTCTTGAAGGCCCATTTGTAAGTGTGTTGTGTGGCTTGTTTATTTGTTTTGTTTTTGTTTTTGTTATGCTGTGAGCTTCTTCTGAAGATGATTGGAATACATTGTCTCTTTAAAATGTTGTGAACTGACTTCCAGTGAATGCATATGGATATTGCCCCTGAAGAGATATTAGAAGTCTATTTTAAGAATCAGTTAAATTTTATTGTTTATGCATTCTTCTTCAATGAAGTTTAATTGACACCTAGAATTGTTGAAAGAATCTTTCATGGGGGTTTACTGTGATATTATTTGCACTTTCATTAATGGCCCCCCTTTTCTATTATGTTGGTAGATTGGCTGACTTTTCGATGTTGCAGCATATTGTGTTGTTGCAGATGAGTCAGCTGGAAGGCAAGTACCAATTGCTTTCTTGGAGCGTATCAAGGATGATTTTGTGTCAAAATATGGTAGCGGAAAGGCTGCTACAGCTCCTGCCAACAGCCTGAACAAGGAATTTGGGTATCTACCTCTGACTAAAATCATGAAAATATTAAATGGGGAGATCTTTTCTTATTACTTTATCATATATAACATGCTATTAATTGCAGGCCAAAACTAAAAGAACATATGCAGTACTGTGTCGAGCATCCTGAAGAAATAAGCAAGCTTGCTAAGGTTAAAGCTCAGGTTTCAGAAGTCAAAGGTGTTATGATGGAGAACATTGAAAAGGTAGATGTGCTTGGTTAACCGCACCTGGTTATGCTTCTGTTGTTATGCCAGCTAGTTTTACATAAATGGAATCACACTAGAGTAGATGATATGGGCTGGTGCTCTCTTTATATAGGTTTCCCTTCCATTGACTCTTAGGCTGATCTCTACTACATAATCATAGTGACAGATTTCTTTGATCACATTAATAATTCCATGATATTCCTTTATTTTCTATGGAACTTATGCTTTTAAAATCTTAAGGGTGTGATATTTGTGTGGGATCATAACTTTCAAGTAGTTTAATCGTTTGCTGGTTCTGCCAAATGCCAATAGTTGTTCTATGTCACTGTGGAAGAATTTGGTTCAGTTTTTCAAATATCACATTTTCTGGTAGGCTTTTAGTTGAAGTTGCCATCCTGTAATATGCTTTTCAATCATTTTGCAGGGAAAATTACCTGAATTTTGTCTTTGCATCTTCGTTTTCTATTGCTGCTAATCCGTTTATTGTGTTTCCAACCAGAATATGGGAAAGAACAATTTTCCCATATTAAATTATGATAACATATTTGGTAATCAACCGACTTACTAGGGACATGCTTTTGGTAATTTATACTGATTTTCCTTCCTGCAGGTGTTAGATAGAGGGGAAAAGATAGAGCTGCTAGTGGATAAGACTGAGAATCTTCATCAACAGGTTTGTGACTCTCACTGTCTGTCTATATCACTCATTTTCATGTATCAATGGGGTATGCACACAAATTTAAACCTGTAATAACTTCAATTAAGTTTGTTTCTTTTGATGTCATGTGAGATTTGAGTTTTGGCTTGGAGTACTCTGTAACATATGAGTTATCAGCAAGGGAAGTTTTAATCCTTATAAAGACAAGAAAAGAGATATTCTTGTTAGTAGCATTAGATGTTTACTTGAGTATGTTATAGAAATCTGCAGAACTTCACCGATAAAGCATCATGCAAGGAGACACAATTTAACCTCTTTTCAAAGTAGCTACAAAATTCGATATTTATGACTTTCTGCAATGATTTGTTTGCAGGCACAAGACTTTCGAACTACTGGGACAAAAATCCGAAGAAAAATGTGGCTCCAAAACATGAAGATCAAGCTGATTGTTCTAGGAGTACTGATTGCCTTGATCCTCATCATTGTCCTCTCTGTTTGTCATGGTTTCAACTGTGGAAAATGAATGCTGTTCTTGAATAGGCTTATTAGCTTGAGCTTTTGTGAGAATATTGTGAGGGGAAAGATAAAAAATATATTAAAATGACTCTGTCATAAAAAATATTAGCAGTCGCCAGATGTTTGGTGCAAGTTATTTTTGAATGTGAGCAAACCCTATAAGTTTTTATTGTATTACATGAATGTGCTTTTGCAACAATCACATTGGTTGTTTACCATCAAGCTTCACAGTTAGTTGGCACATTTTGGCCTGGAAAGAACTTGTTTGAACTTATACTTTTTAGCTCAATCTTGTTAACCATTGATTGCCTGTTTGAAGATCGCAAAACTGGTGGAAATGTTTCTTTAGTCCCATGCCATCAGTAGTGCTTAGCTCATAGTCTTGCACCAATCAACAGGTACTGCAAAGTACAATTACTTGGAGAGTTAGTATTAATAATTCAT